TTTAATTTGGGCCCGTATTTGTAATTATTTTCACTTTCTGGGCCCTTATTTGTAAATTCCCCCCCCCCAAAAAAATAACTTAATTCTGCTCGTCTAAACCGATTCCCTTGGAATACCACCACCACAATTAATAGTGACATTAATAATATCGCACTTGTGAAAAGGAGGCAAGAATAAACTTTCAAAAAAAGCACGGGCTGTTACATAAGACCCATACGATAAATTTTAAAGTATTTTTTATTAATTTATTAAAAAGGTTTAAGTAATAAAATTTGGAATTTAGAAAGTTTAAATAAGTAACCTATAAAAAATATCAGATATTGTAACTAGTGAAGTTTATTAATCATTTCATTACTGAAGTTTCTTTATTCAAGCGCGAAAGCTTCGTACTTATATAGTTTCTTACATATGAACGGATTTGTTAATTGGGACTCTTCGCTACTCCAGATATAATCGAATGAAAGCGTAAAAAAAAAGAAAACGGATATTAAATTTATGTATAAAATTTTACGAGACAATTTTACCTATATCATCAAACCAGCCCTAACTATAATTTAATTGATTACACGACCAAACGCGCTTTAGATGTTCTATTAAGTATATACATTGATCGAGGGTGTTCAATCGATTAATCAAAACATAGCGATAGAGTCATAAATGATGTTCGGATTTTTGAAGGTTGATTCACGTACGAATTTATATATGAATTCGCATTACTTAGTTACATTTTTTACCCAACTTGCATACAAAGTCATATCGGGGGTTTTTTTTTAAAACTATAGTTCGTGACCAGCTCTACATTGTAATAAAGCCAATTCAGCGATAACTTTCGTTAACTTTTAATAAATATTACAAAACCTGCTCTATTACAGTGGAGCTAGTCTAGAACTATAGTTTAAAAAAAATACTGTACGATTTTGTATGTTAGTTGAGTAAAAAAATGTACCTAAAATAGTGAGAATTCATCATACGTGAAATCAACCTTCAAAAAATCCGAACATAAACGATCATGACCTTATGTTTTTATTAGTTAGTCGATTGAATACCCTAATTGATCGCACCTTAGAATAAGGTTTGAACTCACGATATAATCTAAGTATTTATTATTTATAAAAATTTAATAAAACTAACAACAAATTATAATTTTTATAACAGATGATTACATAGTACTAATTGTGTTATATATAATGAAGTTTCAGATTGAAGTCTATATTAAAGTTCTTTATTATGCCCTTTTCCATCACTTTTCATTTGCACTTATTTTTCCAATGGCCCATATTTTTCATTTACGTTCTCGTGTATATACTCTTCGTCTTTCGATTAGTGTTCTTTTGTTATAGTCAAACTCTTCTTAATATGCTTACTAACGTATGTTTTTGTTCTGACTCGTATTTCCAATTATGTTTAGAATCAAGCCCTTCTCCAAATTTATCTTCATGTTTATGCCCTTGTTCTGATTCGTGTTCTTGATTATGCTTGTGGTGAAATCCTTCTCTATGCTTATTAAATTCATTTCCTTTCTCATGTTCTCGCATTGACCCTTCGTTAAATCCTTCTTTATGTTTATTAATATGCACACCATCATTTTCAGATTCATGCTTATGTTTATGCTTGCGATCATGCCCATTTTCAAAATCATTATCATCCTCATTCTCATCCTCATCCTCATCCTCATGCTCTAATTTGTCATTAGAGCCTTCTTTATGTTCATTAATATCATTTTCAAATTCGTGGTTCTGGTTTAAGTCTTCCTCATCTCCAAATTCGTGGTTCCGGTCATGGTTAAAGCCTTCCTCATTTTCAAAGCCTTCCCCATTTTCTAATTCGTGGTTCTGATTAAAGTCTCCCTTGTTATAGTCCTCCTCA